CTGACTGTGAGTCTGGCCATTCCTTAACCGTTTCAATACCGTGCACACCTTCCTGCCCAGGCCAGGGTTTCAGCGCTCTCACACTTTGAATGACAATTGGGGTCATACAACACTGTACCCAAATTAAAATTTTAGCATTTTCTTCACACACTCACAGTAAGTGGCTTTGCAGGTATTTAATCACCAGCAGGGGCTTTTAGGGCTAAACTAACAAAAAAGTCCAGACATTCAGAAAAAAAAAACAGGTGGCTTCTAGGGACACTCATGTTAGCAGGGTTTACAATGGGGACTCAATGGTGTCTTGGCTGTGGAGTCCGAGACCTCAGCACAGCTACACACAGCTCTCTGGCAAACAACAGGCCAAAGGGGGATGTCAGAGGGGTCTTGGCTGTGGAAAGTCTGACAGACAGCTCACAAACTATGGTATAGATCTGAATATTGATCAATCCTGAAGTACTGACAGGGGTCCAATCTAATTGGCTTGGGTCCAGAATGTCAGCCCTCTAGGGAACAGTAACAGAGCATCTAGGGAATAATGACCCCTTTTTGCACAGACAGTCTGACGTACTTCATAAGGGGATGGCGAGTTTTTTGAAGTTGTATTTTTTTGTCATAATTTTTCGGAAACAGGGGTAAATGGAAAAAACAGTTCTTCACAATTTTTTTTTTTCAGCTGTCACCAGGCAGTACAGCGTCCCATATAACTGGCAGGCGGTTAACCAGGGACACTGGTACTGGTGACAGTATGAAAAGCAAATTATATATATATGGCCCCAGTTTTTTATTATATTTAATTTTTTATTACATTTTTTTTTATTTTTTTTAAGATTTTTTTTTTCATATTTTACTCCTGCCCAAAGTAGTACAATGTTACCATAGTAACAGTACTACTTTGGGGGGGCCCATCAGTATTATTTTTTTTTTTTGTGGGTTGCTTATAGCAAAGAATTACTTTGCTATAAGCAGCATTTACCTGAAATGAAATCGATTCATTCAGCTTTTTTTTTTTTTTTTTTTTTGTGCTTAGGCTGTGGGGGTTGGCCACAGCTCAGACCCCTCACAGCACATGTGCATGTGAGTGGGGGATGAACACACAGCTACACTGGGTCCTGCGCCGGCCTTCTTAATGAGCCAAGACACTTATACAACTGTGCTGCTGGATTGGCCGGTCCAGCGTTGGGTTGTACCAGCAACGGGAGCCGCCCCTTATCTGGCCGCACTTTCAGAGAGTGCAACATTTGTCTCCGGTGGGTGCAGAGCTCTGCATTAGCCTCGTGCCCATGCTGCGGGAGCACGCCAAATGGGGCACCCGGATGTGCAGAGACACATTTCCGCAAACTGCGCTGGCCCCGGGCGGGTAATGGTCAAATACCCCCCCTGCAATCAGCTTCAGGTATTTTGGCTGACATCAGGGGTGAGTCTCTGATTGCTGAGAGCACCCGCTGGCCAGCCCTGGTACTGCAGCCCACAAGGCAGGTAAGTCCCACCGTTATTGGCAAGTCCATTCCTGAGAGGTGAGGGTACACAGGGGAGACACCTTCCTTGGGGGGGGGCAAGTGACCTCTGAAGGCCTAAATCCACAAAAGACAGAAAGTGTGGCCGTGATGAAGTGTAAAACACCTCCCAACATCAGTGACGTGAGATCATTTGTGGGTGTGATGAATTACTCACGTACGTTTATTGATGACTAGGCAGAAATCAGGAAACCTTTATTGACATTACTAAAGAAGAATATACCATGGACATGGGGGGGGCTCAGGAGCGAGCCATGAATGAGCTGACAAGGAAACTCACCCAAGCCCCGTGCCTGGCTTATCCAGAAGGAGGAAAACCCTTCTATCTGGGAACTGGATTCACAAACCTCAGTATCAATGCTGTACTGGATCAAATACAAGACAATCTGAACCAATCATTGCCTATGCCAGTAATTCCCTGTCACCTGTACACATCACATCCAATGACTGTGAGAAAGCATTACTAGCCCCAGTCTGGGCCCTTCAAAACTGTAAAAGTTACATTCAGGGTGAGGAAATAATAATATAACTGAACATCAACCTCTGCAATATTTACAAAGTGACAAATCCGAGATGGTAATTTATCACCCAGCAGAATCCCTGCCTGGACATTATCCTCACAAGGATGGCCATTACAAGTCCCATATAAAGGAAATAAAGAGTTGTATCCCGAGGTCCGGCCAACTCCAGGATTGTTCAGCTCCTTCTCATACAGAAGAGCCATTAGATGACTTCTTAGAAGAACAATGATCTTCCCCTTACAAGGCCGATGACGAGGACTACTGTCCATTACTGCCATGTGTATATATTGATGGCTGTGCTGATCACACCCCCATAGACCAGGAAAGACAATGAGTAGCCGGCATTGGAATCACCCGGACAGGACAATTCCCAAATGTATCAGTAGGGGGCAGTATTGGTGCCAAGAGCAGCCAAGTGCTGGAATTCCCAGCTGTATACAGAACTGTTCACATTGCTACAGACCATAATATCAAGGAGTTTGTTGTCGTCACGGATTCCATCTGTGTGTGGAACAGTTTTGTGGAAGATCTGCCGACTTGGAAAGGAAACAACATGTTCCGATGTAATCAATAGAGTATAGGTGAGCGCACAAAACACACAAATGAGCTGCTGGCATAAAAGGACAGAACCCCGAAATCCTCTGCTAAATGGTCAATAGGTATGCAGTGCTAATACAAAGGATCTGGTGAAAACAATGAATAACTGGAGAAAATCCAGTGACAAGAAATATGGTGAATGGATTAAAACCAAAATAAGCACAAATAAATCCATAAATATTCCACTAAAATGTATAAGTGTAAACATAAATAAATAAAGTGCATAAAGTGCAAAAACGTGCTGATGAATCCATATTCCAGTAAACTCGTGACTGGATGAGAATCGAGATGGTGATCGTTATAACACTTCAAGTATAATAGTGATTCTGGTGACTGGAAGCAGGAATATTGGAAATAACTCCAGTGCAGGGGCGGACTGACCATTTGGAAACTCGGGCACTGCCCAGGGCCCGGGGTCAGTAGGGGGCCCCATGAGATGCCCCTGGTACCTTTTTCATAGGCTTTTTTGAGTTTGGGCAAGGATACAGGGGCCCCATGATCCCCTATTGCCCGGGGGCCCCATGAGTTGTCAGTCCGCCCCTGCTCCAGTGCTCGTGACTTCAGATGGTGATAGATTGGTATGTTCTTGCTCTTACCGGAAGTTATATGCACATGTAACAATACCCTCCAAACAGGACCCTGGTGGTCATCATGGATGTGGTCGGGGCAGAAGGGGGCTCCACTGGCACACACACAGCAGGGGGCACACTCCAGACATCACTAACGGACCAATCCATTACAGGGAGTGGGGGAGGAACTGCTCCTTAATATCCAATCCAGCCAAGGTACACCGATACTGTCAGATGTTACTCTTCCACCTTCCACGGCTCAGTAATCAGCCACCACACATGGATATTATAGTGTAGGAACTCTGGAATAGATATGGGCAAAGAATCCAAATATTGATGCTGAAAAAATCAAACTTACATATGCAGTGATAAAGATGGCCGCCGGACCAACATGCGGGCCTCGGCGACGTGACGTCAGCACGGCATTGCTCCTCCCTTACGCGTTTCATGCAACAACATTTATCGAAGGGATAGCCTTGCCGCTGACGATGTCCGCTATTTATAGCTCCCGCGCATGCGCGACGCGCGGGCGCCATTTTGTGGAAGTCCTGCAAGGCAGCCGGACAAAACGGAACCGCTTAGGGAAAACCACTCAGCCCACCAGGGAATGCAATACAAAGGAATGAATAATAAATGCTGAACAATAGGATGATAAATAAAGGACAAAAATAAAAGCGGCTAAAGAAATAAATGACTATACATAACGGCCGCCATTTTATTGAAGGATAACAATATTAATTATAGGGATAATACAGGAGACGGTCTCCATTTGTTGTAGACCCCTAAAATGATATGGAAAAATGAATGTATATATAAAAATAATGAATAATAATACTCTGCCAATTATAGGGAGTGTGCCAGACTGGGATTATAATATACAATGTATACATAAAACATGATGTCATCAAACTAGATATAGCGTATTGCCATTCACCTGGAGGACTACAAGTGCCATAATGTCATAACAACAAAACTATTGGATTACAGAGCCATTATAATATTAAACATGTCTGATAAAAAGATACTTTATTATTACAAATATAAAGATGAAAGTGTGTATAGAAAAGACAATTAACAAAATGTAATATTCAGAGCCAATTAAAACATAAAATATTAAATTCCAAACATATGGAAATAGTAAAAAAAATAAAAAAGTAAAACCATCATCTGTTATTCAGTGCTCTAGGGCAGGACTCCATTTTTATTCTTCTCCTGCCATCAATGGCCAACCCGGTCCCACACTTCATCCATGTCTTTGGGGGCCTCTGATCTCCTTAAAACTGTTTCTTCCATGATGAAGATCAGCCATGGAGTATATCTGAGGTGTATATCAGGGTGTGCTTCTTCCCCACATGAGAGCTGGGATGTCCAGCAACATTCATCTAGAAGACATTTCCCGCACTCAAGGCACTAATACACCTCCAGGGTTGTGTGGGACCCCTGATGTACAGGAAGACAGGACTTCAGTGAGGAACATTTCCCTCACTCAGGACAGGAAAGTGGCTTCTCCCCTGTGTGAGATCTCTGATGTCTGGAAAGATGGACTTCTGTGAAAAACATTTCCCACACTCAGGACAGGAATATGGCTTCTCCCCCGTGTGAGATCTCTGATGTTTATAAAGATTGGACTTCTGTGAAAAACATTTTCCCACATTCAGACAGGAATACAGGCTTCTCCCCCGTGTGAGATCTCTGATGTTTATGAAGAATGGACTTCTCTGAAAAGCATTTCCTGCACTCAGGACAGGAATACGGCTTCTCCCCTGTGTGAGATCTCTGATGTGTGTAAAGATTGAACTTCACTGAAAAACATTTCCCGCACTCAGGACAGGAATACGGCTTCTCCCCCGTGTGTGAGATCTCTGATGTGTGTAAAGATGGGACTTCATCTGAAAAACATTTCCCGCACACTCAGGACAGGAAGTACGACTTCTCCCCCGTGTGAGATCTCTGATGTTTATGAAGAATGGACTTCTCTGAAAAACATTTCCCACACTCAGGACAGGAATACGGCTTCTCCCCCGTGTGAGATCTCTGATGTTTGTAGATAAGACTTCTCTTCTGAAAAACATTTCCCGCACACTCAGGACAGGAATACGGCTTCTCCCCTGTGTGAGATCTCTGATGTGTGTAAAGATTGAACTTCAATGAAAAACATT